AATAGTCAAGTAACGTGACAGCAGGCAGCTACTGTGTGCCAACAGTTTATTTTGCTCATACAATGACATGTCTACATTCTAGCCATCTTACAACTGAACAAGGAAGGTAAAATGTACTGCATAAGTACTTTGCTTCCAGATAAGAGAAAATAGAATGATCATATTTAGTGAAGTGGGGGACTTCTTAACACCCGCTTAGTAAGTTTGTTCAGAAGTGTAGGAGTTTGTTCAATCTTGGCCGCCTTGCAATTTTCAGTGCACACTTTGGAAAGACAATGTGGATGTGCGCATGAAATAATTGCAGTGCCAGTGGTCAAACACAAGAGGGAACTCCTTGCTTACTGCTTGAATCACACTGAATTCTAGCTGTTGCAGGGAATTAAACTATGGCAAAGTTTCTTGGACTGCTTTCTGGGGACCACCAGTATTCCCTTGTGATCCCAAAGACCATGCTGAAAATAATGTAAGAAAAAGGTGAACAGTATAAATTTTCACTATGTAGTGAAGAGGCAAACTGCTATTTTGAGACTTCCCTGAGTAGCAAGTTGAGCAGGTGTGTGCAACAGAAACTTCAAACAACAAGGGAAATTAATAAAGGCAAATGGGAAGACTTGGATCATAGGAAAATAAGATAAGGAATGTTTTGAGCACCCTCTCCACATGAAGGATATATATACACACACGCAATATACACACACACCACCAATATAGGCCATATAGAGCAATCAAACTAATTGTGATCCTGGGGGGGGAACGGGACAAAATGCAGGAACCTCTTGCCTATAAAGTTCGAAATGGTTCATACTGGCATGAAATATTTCCATGTATTTTGTAAGCTACTGTGGATCTTCAAGTGCATAGAGCACTGACCTTCCTGTTTGTCTTGTTTTTAAATCTTGAGTTCTAATGAAATGTGTTCCATAGATCCACATAGTTTTTCTGTGAGATGCCAACTTTAGCAGCATAGCATGCAAAAATTCTATTGGGGCTGCTTTCTCCCCATCTGTGGCACGTGCAAATTGATACTTGACCACATTTTATTCAGCGAAAAATCCAGTCGTCATAGAATACACTGATGCAAAGCTTCCCTACTAGAATTGCTGCCTGTTATTCTGCCCCTTTAGAGCCATAGCCTCTGTCCAGAGATGTGGAACGGCTGGGCAGGGAAATCAGTAGCAGCCCTACCTCCACATCTGACACTGTTTAAACTAGACAGGATGTCCAATTGGAAAGTCATAAATCAAGCGCAAATAGGTAGCATGGTCTTAGCAGGAAAGCACGTCTTCCTAATCTTCCAGTAATGGTAGAATAAATTGTTTGTGTTCCTCTCGGAAGGGAGTGTTGAATCGGTTACTTTCCCATCTAATTGCCCTTTTTCCCTTGCTATTATTCCCAAGAAAAGGGTTTGTTTAAGCAACAGCCTCATGGGCTGGTGCATCCATCTTACGCAAGATGCTACAGGAAGGAGAGATGTCAGAGGAGACGGGAGGGGATGGAAATCGCCAAGTGAATCTATGCAACTTTGTGGTGACTGCAGCAGAGGGATTGGTAACTCAAGACCAAACCTTCCTCTTGTAAAGTTACTCTGGTGCCCATGTGGTCTATTTTGAGGAGTGGGTAAAGAGGCATGGCATCCTCTCTCGACACTAGCAGGCTACTAACGGTGTGGACCTAGAGCAGGCATAGCCAAAATAGTGTTCTCCAGGTAGTCCTACAACTCCCATCGGACCCAGCCGATGTAGCCAATGGTGAGGGATTATGGGAAATGTAGTCTGCATCTTGGGTGGGGGGTCACCGTGTTTGCTGCCCCTGGCCTAGAGACTCTGCAAACCTGAGACATGACTTTCTCATAGCTAAGATGAACCCCACCTAATTCAGCCAGGCTGGAGCCCTTAGCATTCTCAGCCAATGACACTGACACTGACTGACACTGCCCCGACGCCTGCCATTTTCACTCCAAGATGATGCCAGGCTCTGTTTGCTCTGTGGATAAATTCTGCTTGGTTTTGTTTTTTTAAAGCATTGGCAATTCTTATTTATAATACAACATCCTTACGTGCAAACTATACTGTTTCAGCTGAATGGATATCCTAGTTTGACCAGTCTTCTTACCTGTTCTGGATGCATGGCAGTAAACAAAGACCAGAGAGGGAGCTATTAGCTTGTGTTTTGTATATTTTTCTTTCTAATTCCCATGGTTTTGGGAAAAGATGGAGAAGTGCAAGCTAAGGAACCACAAGTCAGTTGTACATCCCATCAGCCTTTTGCCGTGTTTGAAAATGGCTTTGTGTTGTGTTATTTTGATCAATGTACCTGAAGTTATTTCTTATTGGACTGGCAGCCTCCGAGATCTTCAAAACGGCTTTGATTTGTATGAGGCTGGTGTCTTATGGTAGGAATTCAATGCATTTATCTAGGCCTAAAGCTTCTTCCCCCCCCCCTTTTTTTTCTTTTCTGGCATTGAAAGATGAGAGTTTAGGGGATGGCAGCAATCTGGGGAGCTTTAGCTCAACATGCTATTTCAGAAACCAGAATGGCAGGCAGCGGGTAGCGGGGAGAAGGTAACAAAATACAAATTTATTGCCTTACATGATGGATGTTATGAGGCTATGTTTACAGTCCCACTTTCTTAACAGCTCTTATGGTAGGAAGTTGACACTTTTTAAGATGATCTATCTATGCATCATCAAAGTATTTTTCCTCCACAAAGAAGATGGGGGGAAACAGCAAGAGGATGATCAAAGGATTGCATCTGAAAAACAAACTTCATCTTTACACAGAGAGCATTTGCAGCTGAGGTCCTTCCTTGCCACTTAAGACTTCAAAGATGCTTTTAGTGGAGTGTGGTTTCTTTTCTGTCGCTGTTAGATCGTTCTCCACCTTCTCCAGTGGCATTGTGATGGCTGATGTGCTCTATTTTTAAAATAAACTATTTTAATGCATGTTTTGTTGTCAAGTACCCTTGGTTTCCATTTAAATTCTGTCCCCCTCCCTCCTCAAACACCAAGACTTCGTTGTGATGTTCAGACAGTTGCTAGGTCAGGTTTACCTCTCTGTCAAAACTGGTTCATATGTATCTGTATGTGCTCAGAAGGTTATAGAGCTACAGGACTTTTTCCACATAAGGACATAACATGAGACGGCTGGATCAGGTCAGTGGCCCATCTAGTCCAGCATCCTGTTCTCGCAGTGGCCAGCCAGGCGTCTGTGGAAACGGGATGCAGGTGGCACTGTGGTCTAAACCACTGACCCTCTTGGGCTTGCCGATCAATCCCCGGTTTCAAATCCCTGTGACGGGGTGAGCTCCTGTTGATCTGTCCCAGCTCCTGCCAACCTAGCAGTTCGAAAGCATGCCAGTGCAAGTAGATTAATAGGTACCACTGTGGCAGGAAGGTAAACAGCATTTTTGTGCACTCTGGTTTCCGTCACCATGGTTCTGTTGCATCAGAAGCGATTTAGTCATGCTGGCCACATGACCCAGAAAGCTGTCTGGACAAATTCCAGCTCCCTCGGGCTGAAAACAAGATGAGCACCGCAACCCCATAGTTGCCTTTGACTGGACTTAACCATCCAAGGGTCCTTTACCTTTTTACCTGTGGAAATTCTGCAAGCTGGAGGGTTTGAAATATTTTCCTTGAAGCTTGAATTTGTTTTATTCTGGATTGTTTGATTCACTGTTTTAATGTATTGTGTTGTGGTATTCTGAACATGATTTACGTAATGAGGCAATTGTGGTGTGTGTTGACCTGTGATTCACAGCAACTGGTATTCAAAGGCATATCCTCTTTTAAAGCTACCCAAGGAAAAAAACTGAGATTTGAGGAGGCTTGGGGGATGATCACTCTAAGAAGATAGACAGGGGCTTGACCTATGCTACCACCTCCCACTGTCCCCTTAAAACAGACCCCCAATAAATCTAGCTCCTGTCGAGTTGCCTTACACCAACCTTCCCCACCCGGTGCTCTCCAGATGGTTTGGAATACAACTCCCATCATCCCTGACCATTGGCCGTGCCAGCAAGGGATGATGGGAGCTGGAGTCCAACAACATCTGGAGAGCACTGGGTTGTGGGAGGCTGAACAGTCCTCAGAGTGCTGGGCTTTTATTGAAACGGCTTATCTGAGTTTTAAGCGGCTGCAGGAAAGCAGCTTTCACTGGTGACCAATAAAAGATAGGGAAGGAATGGGCGGAAAGATATCCCCCCTCCCTCGCCAGGAATTGATCCTGTACCGCTGATGTAAAAGAGAGTAGGAGGAGCTCTCTCCATCAGGGGGCGGAGCAAGCCAACAAGCCTTTAAGAGGGCACCTCGCTGCTTTGGAGAAGAAGAGAGAATCCTCTTGAGACAGAAGCAGAGCACTGACTGAGGACTCCCGACAGGTAAGGAGAAGGAATCCTTGAGTCATGCCTTCCCCAACCAGGTGCCATCCAGGTGTTTGGGACTATAACACCTATCCACTGAGATTGATGGGAGTTGTAGTCTAAGACATCTGGAGGACATCCAGTCGGGGAAGGCTACTTGTGAGCAGACAGGGGTTTTTAGATGCTAGATCTAAAAGACAGGCAAAAGGGCATGCTTCCACAGAGTGCAGACTGAAACTGGGAGATCTGATGGCCATCAACGTGGCTTTAAAAAGGGGTTGGAGGAACTACATGGAAATAAGGCAAATAAGAACTGTTTGACGATGGAACCATCTCCATCAGAAGGTTGTGGACTCTCCTTCCTTGGAGGTGTTTAAGCAGAGGTTGGATGGTCATCTGCCATGGATACTTTAGTTGAGATTCCTTCATTGCAGGGGCTTGGACTAAATAACTCTTGGGATCGCTTCCAACAATTCTATGATTCTAATGGCTACTAGAATCATGGCAGAGGTGTGCTGTCTCTGGTACTGAAGGCAGTGCCTCTTAACACCAGTTCCTGGGGCTGCCTAGTAGAGAGAGCGCTGCTGCACTCCTGAATTGCTTGCAGGCATCTGGTTGGCCGGCGCTACAACTGGTGGGTCCTCAGACCACCAACTGGGAACCACTAGTTTAGACTTTAAAGACTAGCAAATGCATGATGGCGTGAATGTGTACATTAGGTTAACGAAAGGTAGGTAAACAGCAATCCAGGCTATGCAATAGAACTTAATCAGCTCCGTAATTTATTTGATGCTCGGCAACGCCCCCCCTAAAGTCCTCCTCTTACTATCTTCCAAGTTCCAGGCATGCACACCAAGGTACTTACCAGCCTGCTGCTGACCACCTTCATAGCCACAAGCCTCTTAAGATCTGTGTCCACATCTTATCAGGGGGGTGGCAGGCTAACCAGGCAAGCCCAGGCTGGACCACAACAGGAGAGGATGCAGAGGAGCAGCAGTGGCGGTCCCATCCGCAGGGAGTGGCCAGGACATCTGTCTGAGGACCAGAAGGATTTGGTCGCCCAGTTCCTGCCTTACCTCCGTACAGGTAGGAGAAACGACACACACGTGCTTCTTGCATTCTCAGTAAGACCTTTCCAGATGATCTTAGTGGAAGGCTGGGCTCCTTCAGAGCGAGAGAGGCACTCCCAAAGTGTGAAGAGAACTAACAGGTGTGCATCTCCCTCCGCCAAGCTGGCCGTGCAAATGGAAACGACAGGCGAAGCATTAAATAAAATATTTGCTCAGCCCTCCGTCTTGCTCCTCCCCACATGCATGGTATTTAATACTTGCAAGTATGTTATGAATATTCATGCATTCACTCACCCAGCATTAGTTTTAGGGGGGGGGCTTAAAGTGTTAAATGCAAAACCCGCTACAGGATGAAGGAAGAGGTTTCTCGGTTTAGAGGGTGTGGCCAATCAGTACTGTGCAATCAGCAGCGAGCTTCTGCTTCAAATTTGCACTGCCATTTTCCCCCCAGTCCTCAACCCTGGACTGGGAAGGCAGATTTGAAGTGAGCCAAGTGGGGACACTCCAATCTGAATGTAAACCTGCCTCCTTATTGATTGGACCAGGAGTGACAGACCTGTGGTCCTCTGCTGTTTGGACTCCCATCAGCCTCAGTCAACATGGGGAGATGATGGGAACCATACTCCCAAAAAGATCTGGAGAGTCACAGGCAAACCACTCCCTGGCTTCAATCTTTAAACTGTCTGGGTGGTTTTCAAGTGTTTCCATACTGCTCTGAGAGCACAATTTAAAACCTCTAACTTTTGGAAACTTGGGATGCCAAAGAAGTACTTTGTGGTCTCCATTGGTAGTGGAATTGCCTCCAAATTGCGAGAGAGAAAACGTCACATTATATTAATGGACTGAATGTGACTAACTCGCTTTGTTTTTAAATGGCAGCAGAGGGTGGGCAGTCAGAACTGGGGATATGGAGGCAGAGACTGGGAGGGGTTCCCCCCCCCCAGCCATCTCCCCCCCTGCCAGGGTCTTGATGTACCGTAAATCCCTTGCCCTGAAGCTGCTATTAGCCCTAGGAGGAAACCTCCAGTAGACCCCATCAGCTCTTGATGATCTGCAGAGAGTGGGCTGGCAGGACTGAGATTGAGGGTAGGTTTTGCCAATCCACCGCCTGCCTTCAAGTTAATTGCACCGTGTCTCGTCTCCAACTGCAGAATTTGCTGGCAGAGTGCAGGACCCAGAGGCTCATTACCCCAGCTGGATGGACTTTGGACGGCGAAGCTCCGAGGACTTGGAAGGAAAGGCCTAAGTGACCCGTCTCCCAGGCCAATCCAGGCGGGGGAAGGAAGAGGCAGCGATGCAGATTCTAAATAAGTTTTGAGCGTTTTGTAAATGTCCAGACCCGTTCCTCTTGCGTGTCTGTGCCAATAAAGCTGTGCCACTGATATCTCTGCCTGAGCGGCTCGCGATTCCACAAACTGGGGAAGAGGGCAGAACCAGCGGAGCAAATTGGTAATGTCCCAGTCAGTCAGAAGTCCTGGAGGACTAGACTAGACATTTATAGGATGGTGCTGTTAAATGCCCAGTTTAAGAGTCATTGGTGGTTACTGAACTTTGTCCTTTTCTTTTTTGAAATCATTTTTTATTTGATTTTACAATACAAAATGATTAAAAAATTCAAAAATATAACCATATATAGAGATTCCTCAGAATCTCAGGACTCCCCCCCCCCCGAGTCCCGTTTTAATAATTTAAAACTGCATCTTCTTTCAAACTGTAACTATTATATCAATCTATATTTTCCATGGTAATTGTTACACTACAAGTGAAATCAAAATCCTGCCGATGTTTCCATCTGCTTACAGTGGTCTTTTAAATAGCTTATACATTTTCCCCATTCTTTTCTAAAAATTTTATCCTCTTGATTCCTGAGTTTTCTAGTCAGCTTAGCCATTTTGGCATGGTCCATCAGCTTGGTTTGCCATTCTTCTCTAGTAGGGACCTTGCCTTCTTTCCATCCCTGGGCTAGTAGCATCTGAACAGCTGTTGTTCCATACATAAAAAGTCTTTTTCTGGTCCTTTGGGATATCGGTACCTGTAATTCCTAATAAGAAAGCTTCTGGGTTTTTTTAACAAAGGTTATTTTAGACTTTTTTTTCATTTCATTGTATATCGTTTCCCAAAAAGCTTTTACCACCTTACAAGTCCACCACATATGATAAAAAGTACCTTCTTTTTCTTTACATTTCCAACAGACATTTGTACTTGTGCTATACATTTATGCCAGCTTAGTAGGAGTCAAATACCACTAGTATTTTCTTGTGGGGGGGGCACTAATACATCTCCTTGCCAAGGATGCAGGGGAGCCTAGGTACCCCTCTGTATATGAGATGAGAAGAGGGGAAACCCAGTCTGACCAGTTGCCCAAGTTCACTCTGTTTGCTTCATGACTTGATCCTGAGTTTCCCACAAAATTCAACTCCACCTACACAAAACCACAACCATTTTTGTCTGTGTTCCGTTGGCATCCCATAAGGGTCTTTGTGCAGCCTTCCACAGATAAGCCCACTCTTTGCTTCTAGGTGGGCTCAAGCCAAGACACTTCAGCCCTCCCCCTGAGAGACTCATAGAACCATCGAGTTGGAAGGGACCACGAGGGTCATCTAGTCCAACCCCCTGAAATGCAAGAATCTTTTGCCCAACGTGGGGCTCGAACCTGCAACTCTGAGATGAAGAGTCTTACCAACTAAGCTACCCCATCTAGAAACTTAAGGAGGGGGTTGACTATCAGAAATGATAATTGCAGGCACAGGAAGTGCTCCTTGACAAAGATAATTGAAAAGGCAACCACCAAAACCTTCCAGAAAGGCAAGATGTGGGCAGTGATTTATGAGGTACCAGTGCCAGAAATTAGGAACTGTATCTGGAAAACAGGAACAAAATAATAATACTAATTACTTATACCCCACCCATCTGGCCAGGCCATCCCAGCCACTCTGGGCGGGTCCCAACAGAATATTAAAAACATGATAAAACATCAAACATTAAAAACTTCCCTGTACAAGGCTGCCTTCAGATGTCTTCTAAAAGTCAGGTAGTTATTTATTTCGTTGACATCTGATGGGAGGGCATTCCACAGGGTGGGTGCCACTACCGAGAAGCCCCTCTGCCTTGCTCCCTGTAACTTCACTTCTCGCAGTGAGGGAACCACCAGAAGGCCCTTGGAGCTGGACCTCAGTGTCTGGGCTAAACAATATGGGTGGAGATGCTCCTTCAGGTATATAATCCTATACCTGTCTACTCAGAACTGAACCTCACTAAATTCAATGGTAAATGTGTACAACAGGAAGTGGGTGCCGTGGCTCAGTTGCTGTTTATGGGCTGCAGAAGGCATGGTGGTGAGAGGGGCTCAGACTCAGCTCACACACAGACTCTTGGTCATCTTTGGGGTGGCTTGTGGGTGCTGAACGGGTCCCAGACACACTTCTTCACCCGCTCCCTGTGGGCGCGGTTCATTATTCAACCCAGAGGGCAACTTCCACAGCCCTTCCGCTCCACCCAGCTCCTTTCCAACTGCCAAGTCAAGACTTTCTGAGGACTGCAGCCTGAATGAGAAGAGGCCAGCACATGAAGGGAATGCCTGCCTAATCAATGAGAAAGGCTGTCAAGTCATTTTCCACAGTGGCAGTAAGATGGAGAAAGTGTGTGTGTGTCGGAGAGAGGGCAGATCCACACTATTTATTTAAATAAAATTCATTGCACGGTTGCACACGGTGAGAGATGCCAGGGGTTCCTGCGGCTTACCTAGGATTCGTGTTTCCTTCTGGGAATAAGACACAGAGGAGGCTGTGGTGTCATTAGGATATATGGTCTCCCCACTCAAATCTTCTCTTTACACGTGACTGATGTAAGCATGCGACAATCTACAGGTTTTGTTGGACTTGATCGATGTAATTTCACAACAGATTAATTAAAATATTATTAAAAAAAACAAAAACAAGTCATTGGGACTTACTTCTAAGTAAACCTGCGTAGAACTGGGATGCATATGTTGTAAGCACTCAAGAGTGCTGTGACCTGCGTCTGCAGCAAAGGCAGTCAGAGAAGTCGGGGTGATTTTAAACCCTCTATAATGGAAGGGCTTGATAAAAGCAATTTAATGCAGGATTTCTGCAGGAGGCGGCAGTGTTTGCAAGGAAAGCTGTTTTGTATTCTGCCTGCCAGATCGTAAATTGGAAAGAATAAGAGACTATTGAAATACGCTCCACCGGGCTGTGGCTTTCAAGCAGGAAGGAGCTAAAAAAAACCCTGTGCTGCCTACCATACCTTAAAATAAGGGACAGATGGGAGCTCTGTACATCGTGCCAGGAACTGCAACCACGCTTTGCCCTCAGACAATACAAACTCTCTGACCTAGTTTTCAAGTTCCTATTAAGAGTACAGCAGAGGACGTCGTCCATCTCTTTCCTGGACTTTAGGATCAGTGCATTTTTCAAACTGACATTTTTTTTCCATCCAGAAACTATTAAAAAGCGAGATCAAGGCAACGCTACAGCCACATATTTGGATGGCTGCAGCAGAAAGCAAAGAAGATGCAATTCACAGACTTTCTCTGGAGGCAGCGAGCCAGTGTGTGTGTGTGTGTGTGTGTGTGTGCGTGCGCGTGTGTGTCTTTCAGAGGGTTGTGGTGGTTGTTGTTGTTATTTTATACCCTGCCTGTCTGGCTGGGCTTGTTAGTAAATCCAACAGGGTTTCCCCAGCCACCCTGGGCGGCTCCCAACAGAATATTAAAAACACAATGTGGTGCCAATATTGTTGGGATGCCAACTCTGCCATAAGCCCCAGCCAGGAGAGCCAATGGTCAGACATGGTGGTCACCACACTAGATACCCTGAGCCAAAGTATTCCAGGTGCTCAAACCTTTGTTAGAATTTGTCCAAACTTCCCCCATCCCCCCGCCAAGCAGTTGTTTGTGGAGCTGTCCATCTTGAATATGGCAGCAGCTTTTTGAGCTCGCAAACAAGTTTTTACAACCTCATCCACTGAGCTGGAACAACAGCCTACAGTTTGTAAAAACTTTAAAAGCAGGAAATATGTCTGAAAAACAGCAAATGAAATGATTTCTAATGCACAAAAGATCCTGGCAAGAAGAATCCTATTTCCTTCAGGTCCTAGTGCCGGAACGGCCACTTGCCCCTTACACAGCAGTTTTCTTTTATTTTCTAATGAGCCCCAAATGAAGGTGCTCTTTCTCTCCAGGAAGCTCTCTACAGGCTGTTATGCACCACGGTAATACTTTTTTAGAAATAAAATAAATATGCAAGTGATTGTCACGAACTGGACTGCTTGAGGTATATCCAGAGGTGTTTGGGGGCAGATATGTTCTGCAACACATCATGGATCAATCATAGTGCATTAGTTGCAGATGTATATTAATGTATTATTATTATTATTATTAAAGCACCCACACATCATTCTGCTTTTATTAGTTGCTGTGTCTGTGGTGCAGAAGAGCACTAGGTCCAGTTTACTGGTGCAGCCTGGATTTGCAATTGAATCCCACCTGCAAAACAGCCACAGTCTGGAAGCACCTGGCTTGCCTATGGGGTGCAGTGGGGGCTGGTTAATTGTGCAAAAAGGGGCACTGCCCCACCAATCCCAGGGCAGATCCACACCATACATTTAAAGTGCATTCAGTGTGCCTGAAATCCTGGGAACTGTAGTTTTCCCCTCACAGAGCTGCTATCATTTTGTTTAAATATATGTCGCCCATCTGACTGGGTTTCCCCCAGCCACTCTGGGCAGCTTCCAGCAAAACATAAAAACACAATAAAACATCAAACATAAGAAACTTCCCTATACAGGGCTTCCTACAGGGCTTCTCAAAGTCATATAGTTCTTTATCTGTTTGTAGGCCTCTTCCTTTAGACTTTGGGTTGACAACATTGCTGTTGACCTGCTTTTCTCTGACTGTTTTTAGCTTGCTTGTTGTGTTAGGCTGTGATGTAACTTCGCATTACATTTCTTTTTTGTCATTCGTACACATTGTTCTGAATGGATTGGGGTACAAATATGATCTATCGATCCGTCATGAATGATGCCAGCAGCAAGATAGGTCTTGGGAGAAGAGAACCTTGGTCTCTCCCACAGCAAGCAACGTCAACTCGGTAGCTTCTGGGATGCCTCAGTTCAGGGCCCGGGACTGTATAGTGTTGATCGGCCTCACTTTTTCCAGAACTCCAGCCCTACTCACCGAGTCAGAGGAAGAAACTGGTGGGCGGAGCCCCCAACTTATCCCGGGCCGCGCTAAGACCCTGCGGAATCCGCCTGGGCTGTCCCGCGCCGCCTTCCTTCCTTCCCCCTGCTTCCCGGAGACTCCCGATGGGCCT